ACCTACACCCCCAGCTCACAGGTCAGGTTACGTCACGTCAGCTCAGTGTTGCCTATGTCACGAGAGATGGTTAATGGAAGGCCCAAAATTCGGGGTTTTTCGCCGCATCGCCACAAACAATGTCCTCAAACATTTCGCGAACAAACAATGCAGGATCATAATACAAACAGGCAAAAAATCAAACAGGCAAAAAATCAAACAGGCAAAAAATAAAGAAAAAAAAAATCTCAAAAACACTGTAAAACCCTATTCGGAGTAGCTTTCGGAGTTCGCCAAATGATTCTCCGAATTTGGTGTTTTTGCCAACTTTTTGTTTACTGGTCCAAATACGTTGAAACTGAATACAGATAATGGTCCAAATACGTTGAAACTGAATACAGATATACCCTAAAGCATATAGATATCACACAAAAAAAGAAACAAGAAAAAAAAAAAAAATTCAGAGAAATATGGGAGTTTCCGTGAAAAATTCGCTGAAAATGACACCACCTGTTAACCATTAGTGGGGCCAAATACAGCTATAATGACCGGGCGTTCTATTCGGGTGAAGACAGGAGGTTGTTTGTCCGGGGGCTCGGGCACCCAACTTGTGGCCGGATACAAGGCCGGGTGTGCGGGCGGCCGGGCATGAACCCCGGGCAAGGTTCCAGGCAGCCCAAGTGCCAAAAAAAAAAAAAAATACAAACGACTTTTGGCTGAGGGGGTCACATCAGAATTCCTCACAGAAGAAAAATAAAATAAAAAAGAAAACAACAGAATGAGACTAAGGCACACACCCTTTTAACCCCCTTTAGCCCCTCAAACCACCAGTACATGGCCCCAGCGAAGTTGAGAATCCAATTGAGCCTCTCCTAAAATTTCGGAGGCTCGCGCATCTTGATAAAATACATCAGGTGGTGGGCGGTCTCCGAAAGGGGCTCACGGCCGATGGCTGGCATGTAATGGTCCTTTAAGACCCAATTTATACCCCCCTTTCCCCCCCCTTGACAGCCTACGCTCAAAAAAAGAAACGAGCCCGGATTTGGGCTCCTCTTGCCATGCGCAAAAACCTCCACCTGAAATAAATAAATAAATAAATAAATGAAAGGGCTGGTATTTGCCTGCATGGGGTTGCCCCTTATAGGTGATCCCTGGACAACTTGCCCAGGGGCCAAGTCCCACTACCGTCTTCACCCGAATAGAACGCCACGCCCGGTAATTATCGCTGTATGTAGACTGGAAATTGCACCAAATACGGCTATGACGACCGGGCGTTCTATTCGGGTGAAGACAGTAGCATTGCTCCTGTTCCGGTATGGGGACCTCCCTGTTGTGTGACACTCCTTGCCACCGCCGATTTGCATTGATCGTAGGGCAAAGCCCGTTCTCTCTTCATTTTCACGACGTTGGCTTATTGAGGCAGGCCATGAACCGGGTGCTTCCCCATTGGATTGGCTGTACATGTTCACCTTCTTTTGTCTAAGGTGGTGTGTGAGTCCTCCTCTCTGCGGAGGTGCACATCACGTTAGAGAGGGGGACCGCCAGTCCTGTTTCAGGGTGTACTCACACTAGCAGTATCTCAAATGTATCTGACCGTGCATCAGGCCACAATTGCGTCCAGAAATAAGTAAAAAAAAGGCCGTAGTGTGACTATGCCCTCAGATACCGTGGTGATCAACCAAAAACAAAAAGGGAGAGGGCGAAAAAAAACGAAGAAAAAGTTTCCACGTGTCGAGGCTAGAGTTACAGTAGCAAGCCCCTGCATCATCAAAAAAAAAACAAAAAACAAAAACTGCATGACCAGATGGCCACAGTCTGTTCGAGAAAGGAAAGCCTTCATCATTGGGCTAGAGTTACAGTAGCAAGCCCCTGCAAAGGTGGAATTCGACAATGAACTTTCCGCAAGAACATGGAAAGATACACTTCCATATGTTTTGACTTTTGTGAAAGTAGACCGCAGTGCAGCTGGGCCCATTAATTCATACCCCATACTCGGCGGCAAAGGGGGCAGCTTCCTCTGCGTTTTTTTTTTTTGTTTAGGTACTCGAGGGGGCAGCTTCCTCTGCGTTATCTTTTTTTTTATGTACTCTATGTGGAAGAGCTGTATGCGCGCTACACAGCTGGAATATTATTTTGCCCCAGGGAGAAAATAAGGCAGCACAACGCCGCCCGCCGTCGCATTGTGCCGTGTAGTACTGAAGACAGCAACAGGACCGCCGCTAGTGGGACTTGACCCCAGGTTGCACGGCCGGGCGAGCCAAGAAGCCTACCTTTTTTACCAGTACATGGTACAGTATACCCAGCCCTGAGGCTAAGGGCCAGATCCCACTAGCCCCTATTGTTCATTTTTGACCTCGTTTACGAAGATCAACGGTCAGAAATGAATAATAGGGGCTAGTGGGATCTGGCCCTAAATGAATAGCACACTAGCCTACCAGCCGGGCCGCCCGGGTCACCCTATTTTCCCCGACGGCCTGGCCGTGCAAGGACTACGGAAGGTCCCAGCCAAAAAAAATTAAAAAAAAAAAAAAATCAATATGCAGAAAAATAAACTGAACAACTTTTGCCTCAGGGTCACATCGAAATTTTCTTTACCAAATTTAAAATAAAAAAATAAATTAAAAAGTAATTTTTATTTTTTTAATTCTTTTGGCCTGGCCGGGCACGTGAACCCGGGCCACTCTGCTGGCCTAGATAGCACACCCATCAACTGCTCATAAACAAACCTAAGTTCGAATCCTGATGGAATCAGCTGAATAAAATAACTCTGATACTTACCTGCGATCGGTCAGTTTAATGATAATACCTAAGGTCAGTTTGATGATAATACCTGAAGGCCAGAATCGCCCTTTTGAAAACAAAACGCAAAGCCGTCCACAGCTGAGTCGAAAAGGTCCTACCTTCTTCACCTGAATAAAACGGGCAGTCATTATAGCTGTATTTGGAGTATAATTCAATCTAAATACAGCAATAATGACCATATTCAATCTTTTTTTTTTTTTTTTTTTTTTTTAAAGACTCATTGAAACCTTGGTAGGTAGGGTGATATCACCCTACCTTCGAAGGGGGTCTGGTGTTTTCAGACGATGATATTCTTAGCGCCAAATAAGTTAAGTAGGTATCAATTTCATTCGGAAAACATAAAAAATGTGTGTTTTACCGAAATGACTGTTCTTGTAAGCTTGGTTTTCGTTCAAACACAACACACCCTCATCATAAATGCATTCAAAGGATGTTTCCGGTCAGATACACCAATGACGAGAGTACGTCAGGTTGAGGGGAAGACGGTAGTTCGCTGTTCTTTTCTTCCCCTTTTTCATTCAACTTCCTCTTTTTTTCTGACTCCTTGTGCGGTATATGGACTAACTGCCGATGTCCATTGCAAAAGGTTTTGCATTGGCGCGCAATGCATTTTCGTTGGCAAATACAGCTGTGATGCTCTCCTATTTCATGGTTTCCTGTATGGACCATATTCCTAAAGTAACCTCTCTCTCTCTCTCTCTCTCTCTCTCTCTCTCTCTCTCTCTCTCTCTCTCTCTCTCTCTCTCTCTCTCTCTCTGTGTCTCTGTTTTGGTATTCGCTAAACAGAACTCCACACAAAAAAGGGGTTACTCACGAACTCCACACAAAAAAGGGGTTACTCACGGACTCATCCGGAGAGAGAGAGAGAGAGAGAGAGAGAGAGAGAGATGGAGCGCTTCATTGTATTTATCGTTTTCCTAATTAGTGAAATAGATGGATGGAGGGACGGATGGACTAATGGATAGACAGAGAAAAGAGAAAAGAGAGAGAGAGAGAGAGGGGGATTAATGGACATAACCATGGATGGATGGATAGATAGAGAGAGCGGTAGATGGACAAACCAATAAAGCAACCAATCAATCAGGCAATCAAGCTATCAGACAGAACAAAGGCACAGGAATTGTTCAACCGTTTCCTCGATCGATAAATGAATCAATCAAGCAATCACGCAATCAAGCAAGAAATCAAGCAATCAAGCGATCAAGCAAGCAGGCAAGCAATCAAGCAGGCCGTCGAGCAGGGAATCAAGCAGGCAAGCAACCAAACAAATCAAGAAGGCAATCAATCAAGCAATAAAGCTATCAAGCAACCAGTCAATCAAGCAATCAAATAATCAAGAAATCAAACAATCAAGCAATCAAATAATCAAGCAATCAAACAAACAAGCAGGCAATCAAGCAGGTAATCGATCAATCAATCAATCAAGCAAGCAACAAATCAAAAGAGCAAAAAAGCAACAAAGCGCTTTTCAAAAGCACAAAAGCGCAAAAAAGCACAAAAGCACAAAAGTACAAAAGCAAAAAAGAGCAAAAAAGCGAAAAAGCGAAAAAGCAAAGAAGCAGATCAGCAGAGAAGCAAAACCGCAAAAAACCAAAAACGCAGCAAAGCAAGCAAAAAAGCACAAAAGCGCAAAAAATAAAAAAAGCAAAAAAGCAGAGCAGCAGAGAAGCAAAACCGCAAAAAACCAAAAACGCAAAAAAGCAGGCACCAACGGGTCTTAGCTCAGTTGGTGCACCCCTCAACTGAACTGTTGAAATACAGACGCGCATTCGAATCCAGATGCAATCAGATGAGCAGAATCAAATACTAATTCTGAATTACCTGGGACCGGTCACCTGTGAGGAAAACCGAAAAGCAAGCAAGCGGAAAAGCAAAGAAGCAAGCAAGCGAAAAAGGAGCAACAAGCGGATAGGCGGAGCAAAGCAAAAACGCAAGCAAGCGCACACAAAGAAAAAACAAAGCAAGCCAGAGAAATGAAAACAAAAATTAAAAAAGCAAAATAGTGAAAAAGCGAAAAATGAAAAATCGAGAAACGGAACGTGTTCATATCACGGCTAACGTGTGCGATGACATCCGAATACGGAAGCCAAGCGCTCGTTGGGCCAGAATGGTACTGGGATGGGTGACCTCCAGGGAAGTCCCGGTGCTGTACCTATGTATTTTTCATCTATAAGAATGACACCAAAAAAAAGAAAAAAAAGGCAACAGAGCGAAAGAACACGACTGAGTGCATTGTATTGTTCAGTCGAAGTCGTGTTAAGAAGTCAAGAGTGTGGCCATAGCTTTCCTTTCTTTTCCTCTTCAAAGAAAAACGAAAAAAAGCAAACAAGCAAAAACGCAAAAAGCGCAAAAAAAAAAAAAAGCAATAAGCTTTAAGAAAGCAAAAAAAAAACAAAAAAGAGCACGCAACAAAAGAAAGCAAAGCAAATTAAAAAGCAAAAATTAAAACGCAAGCAAGCACGCAAGCGAGCGGCGAAAAGTCCTCTCTCGATACAAGCTGATAATTCTTTTTTTTGTTTTTTTTTTTCGGCTTGTATAGCATCATGGCCGAAGTCATGATATAGTACCGGATCGAGTAGGCTATTCTTGGGAGAGTGGTTGGCTATAGAGGACTTGCGAATGAAAGCAACATTCTTTGTGAAAGATTTGAGAGTTCTGATACCGTGTGCAAATTGAGTCGTGAATGTTGTTGTGCTTTGATTGCCAGTACTCGATAATTCATAATAATAATAATTGTGACGCATCATGAACTTCACAAAAGAAAAGAAAAAAAAAAGAAAAAAGCAAGCAGAGCGACAACCAATCAATCAATCAATCAATCAATCAATCAATCAACCAGTCAAATGGAAACCAAACAATCAAACAACCAATCAATCAACCAACCAACCAACCAATCAAGTAAGCAATCAAGCAAAAGAACGAAAAAGAAAAATAGCAAGTAACGACGCAAGCAAAGCACATAGACCAACAAAGTTCAAAAAACAAAAAACGCAAGGGAAGTAAAACGAAGAAAGCACGCACGCACATAAAAAAAAACAAAAAAACACGCTCGCAAAGAAGCAAAAAAGCAAAAAAAAAAAAAAAAAAAANAAAAAAAAAAAAAAAAAAAAGCAATTAATCAACCAATCGATCAATAATATTAAGCAAGCAAAAGCAATCAAGCAACAAGTTAATCAGCTAATCAATCGAGAATAACAAGCAAACAAAAGCAATCAATCAACCAATTAATCAACCAATCAATCAACTAATCAATCGACCAGTACTGGATTTCGCCATTACCTACTTGTCATTCCCTGAGCACAACGCACCCCCATCATGATTATATACAATCCATCTTTCCAGTCCGATACAGTCATGATGACCGTGCGTATTATTCGAGGGAAGACGGTATTCTACGGAGGCTCAGGTTTCCGACGAAACAGAGAGAGAGCGAGAGAGAGAGAGAGAGAGAACGAGAGAAAGACGATTTTGATTGAATCCTTTTTTTTTTTTTTTTTTGCGATTTTGATTGAATCCTGATTGGACAGATCATCAGTTTAAGTTGTGATTAGATCAGGATTGGAGCTCATGATCTGTTTATTACCAACAGATTTCCGGCCAAATTCGGATGTATCTGACCGCATAAACAGATCACGATTCAAATTTGTTAGCCGTCTTTTCTTTTTTTTCCCGTCGTTCTCAACTGCTTCGCCTCTCCTTCTGACACGTGTCTTGTCATCTTCCTCCACTCCTCTACTTCACATCCCACGCCCGGGGCCAGGTCCCACCAGCACAGCGGATTGAATTAAGCGCATGAATCTGGACGTGTTTTATGCAGAGATGCAGAAAAAAAAGCAGATCGATCAATCGCAATTTTCTGCACCTCTCCTCAAACCGCCACGCTCCCTGTCTGCTCTCCCCACTCTCGCCGTTTTTCCTTTTTCAGACTCCTTTTTTTTTCCAGATTAATTTTGTTCCAATCTCTTGTGGGGGGGAGCGACTCAGTGGACTCACCGTAATTTTGCCTCCATAAAGTTCTCAACGCTACTATCCAAAAAGAAAAAAAAAAAAAAATCCCGCCCCGTCATGAAGAAATAATACAAAAAAAAAATTAAAAAATCCGTTAATCCAAGAAATCCCCCAACAAAAAATCCATGGAAAAACATCATCAAGGGGAAAAAAGGAGAAAATTCCGAGAAACATCACAAAGAGGACAAGAAAGACAAAAAATAACTCCCACTCCCTCCGACGTGGCGTGACGTGGCGTGACGTGGCGTGACGGAAGACCCACGTGTATCTGGTCGTAAAGAGATCACGAGTTCAAGTCCTCAAACGCAATCAGATAAACAGAACAATAATAATTTTTTATTAGCTGCGACGATTCCAAAAGGGGGCAGAAAAACACTTAGTGAAAAAACAGTGGCCATAGACTGCTGCTTCTCGTACAAGCATATCACTAGATATGGATTACTTCTCCGTATCATGTACAGTTCTTAGTTTAAAACGCACAAAAAGAAAAAATTCCCGCTGCCTTCGACGACGTGGCTCAACGGAAGGCACACGCAACCATAGTTGGTAAAGAGATCAGGAGTTCTTTTTTTTTTTTTTTTTTTTTTTTAAAGAGATCAGGAGTTCAAATCCTCGCGCAATCCGATAAACAGACCAATAATTTGATTAGCTGCCCCGCTTGCGGAAAAGAAAATTAATCGAGAAAGAAAAAGCGGCAAGGAAAGAGGAGACGAACCAAGTCATAAAAAATATTATTATGATTTTTTAAAGGAAAACAAGTCATCAACGAAGCGGGTGGGAAAAGGAAAGGAAGGGGGGGAAAAAAAAAAAAAGGACGTTCACGTGGCTATACTGACGGTGATGGCGTGAGAACACGAGCAGTCCACGAAGGTACCAGGAGTAGGAGACGGGGAGGAGGAAGGGGAAGGAGGAGGAGGAGGAGGGGGAGGAAGGAGAAGGAGGAGAGGAGGAGGAGGAAGAGGAGGAGGAGGAGGAGGAGGAGGAGGGTGTGGAGGAAGGCTTGCTTACCCGCAGGATGATTAGCCCGTTGCCCCTTGCCCGTGCCCGACCAGGAGGAAGAGGAGAAGGAGGAGGAGAGGGGAGGAGGAAGAGGAGGAGGAGCAGGAGCCAGAGATGAAGAAGTCGACGGGCGCTGAGAGACGAGAGAGAGGGGGAGGCGAACCACACAGATGTACCAACTCACGTCGATATATAAAATTGCGTGGATATGGAAAATGACGTGCATGTACAGGAAGAGGAGGAGGAGGAGGAGAGATGGAGAATGGCACACAGGTGAGCGACCGAAGAAGGTGAACAGCTATTCCCACAACTACCCGCACTCGGACTTCTCCAACTTACCTCTGGACGTAATCCCGGTCACGTGCGTTCAGTCCGGCTGTAAGAGAGGTCAAAAATGTGCAGAACAGTCGTCGTGTGAGGATTTCTGTTTTTCTTTTTCAAGTCGTTATAGTATTATGTGGAACCGCGGTGGACGAGGGAAGACGTGGGAGCTGTACCCGACCTGCAAAGGGGGGCAGGTACATGACGGTATTGGGAATTGAACCCAAAACGTTCAAAATGCGTGCCTAACCAACTGAGCCAGGCGGCTTGGCCTCTTGCGATGATTGCCCTACAGACACTATTTCGAAATCGCCGAGAACAACGCCTACGGCCAGATACATCAGCCCAAGTACTGGCGTCCACCAACTGAGCCAGGCGGCTTGGCCTCTTGCGATGATTGCCCTACAGACACTATTTCGCCGAGAACAACGCCGTGATTACGGCCAGATACATCAGCCCAAGTACTGGCGTCCACCCCCGAGAACAACGCTCCCACAGTGCAGCAGAGTGATTTCCACAAAAATGGAAAGATTCGTCCGTTACTATGAATAGTGACCGACGAATCTTGCCGCCTTCTCAGACCACATGCACTCGCTTACGGTGATTTTCCAGTTTCGTGTGCGGTGTGGCGAGAGGGTACGTTGTATTCGGGGCAGGCGAGTATCAGAACGGAATATAAGTTCATCCACATGGGGGTACGTTGTATTCGGGGCTAGGTCCCACAATCACGAATTAAGCGATGTATTGACCGTAGATAGCAAATATCAACGGCCAGAATCTCTTAATCCGTGCAAGTGGACCTTGCCCCAGGGCAAGAGGACACGGTGTGAGTTTGGCTCTCGCCCCACCACCCTCACTATCGTCGTCCCCGAATAGAACGCACCCTCACTACCGTCGTCCCCGAATAGAACGCACCCTCTCTATAGTCGTCCCCGAATAGAACGCACCCTCACCATGACTGCATTGCGGTCGAATACATTCATGATAAGGGTGCGTTATGTGTTAGGGGGACACCAGCATCATTCTTGATCATGATGAGGATGCTTTGTGCTCAGGGGAAGACGGTAGTGGAATTCCATCCGAAACAAAAAAAAAAAAAAAAAAAAACGAGTAGTGCAGAAAGTCGCCCCACTTGGTAAACCCCTGAATTGTTCAAATACAAACCTGAGCTCCAACTCCAATGGAAGCAGATGTGGCATACTGCGCAGCCACACGGGCCTGCAGGGGCCGTCCCGCGGTCTCAGCCTAAAAACAAGGGCTTACAGGCCCCATGTCTGTTGCAGCCTGACAGCCTGAAAACCAGGGCCTACAGGCCCCGTGTCTGTTTCAGCCTGACAGCCTGAAAACCAGTGCCTACAGGCCCCGTGTCTGTTTCAGCCTGACAGCCTGAAAACCAGGGCCTACAGGCCCCGTGTCTGTTTCAGCCTGACAGCCTGAAAACCAGGGCCTACAGGCCCCGTTGTGAGGAAACCCGGGGAGGGGCTCCTACCGCTCGCTGAAGCCAGGGGCAACGCCGCCTGTCACTCGGCGCGCCCACTTCCGAGGTCCTCAGCGGCAGATAGGGTGTTGGGGGTTATTATCTCCTGTTTCCCCTGCCCACAGAAGCGCTTTAATCTAGCGTTATCAGATCATAATTTTCTTGAG